TTGCATTGGGCATAGACTGATTAAAAAAAAAAAAAACTAATGGAAGCTTATTCAAGGGTCAAGTATTACCTCATGGAAATGTTTGTCTGCCATTCCTCAGTTTTATACTGAGAAGTGGGGGAAAGTGTGTTTTTACTAATAGGTGGTTTAATAATCCCCCCCCCCTCACCTCCTATATATGCTCTGGGGTGAAGTCAGCTGAAAAAACAAATCATGTAAGCAAACTGCCACTTCATCTTGTTTCAGAAGCTCCTGCTAGCAGCACAGCGTCACCTACCCAAAATGGGTGATGTGAAAGAGATACGTGGACTCCACTCCCCCCGCACCCCAATTTCCTGCTTTCTCTCTATACCATTGGATTCATAAAACATTGCCTGGGTGGCTAGCTCACTGTCTTGAGGCCAAAGCAAGGCACAGGGGGACCAGGGAGGAGAACTTGGTTGCCAAGTCCCTGCTGATGAGAGTATTTGTCTACACTCTTTCAGAGTACTTAACACAGGCAAGAGTACAGGGGAAAAAGACCTGGCTTGCCAAAAAACCATTAAGCAAATGTAAAACTGTGGTATTAAGGCTTGTCCTTGTAAGTGTTCTTTCCATGACCAGCCCTATTAATTGGTGCTCAGTCTCAAAACTATTTCAGTTTTTATGTTACAGAAGAGACTTAAGAATCCAATTAGCTATATTTATTAGAAACACTTGTATTTTTTATTTTTGTATCGATAATGGGCAAAGTTACAGGAAGAGTTTTAGGCTACTGCATTAGGCTCTAATTTTTCACCAGGTGTTGGGACACATCCTGCATAACTAACTCTACACAGGGGAAACTCACCTTTCCCCGCTTTGGGAGAAAGAACAGATGAAATAGCTGGATTCCAGGAAAATAAACGGGAACACTGGGTAACCTGACTGGTAACTGAATGTAATCTTGATGTTTAGGATACACGTTATGTAGCATCCCAGCAATTTCAGCAATGATCAGATCTTGAGTTCCATTGGTACCAACTCACCAAACCATATGTAACCATCACAAAACTCTCATATTAAAAGCTCTGTTTTATTCCAATAGGTCACAACAGGAAGTCCAAAGATTGACTCCCAACCTTCTATCATAACTATTTTCATCAGTTACAAGAATTGGGCAATTTTATCTAAAAATCCAGACATCTTGATTCTCTTGGGGAAAAAAGAAATAAAGATTTATATATATATAAAAATTAGATATTATATATATAAATTAGATTTTATATATATAAATTAGATGATTTGGCCACAGAGTGCAGTCTCTGAAGCCACAAGTGGCGGACACTGAGTGCGCCTGAGCCTCTGGATGGGTCTTGCTTTCTGCTGCTTGTCACCCATGTCCCCTCCCATCACACTCACTGCTGATTGCCTGACCCCTACAGGTGCTGGCTTTGCCTACAGTAGTTTACGAAGAGCTTTTATGCATATGGTCATTGGTTTCTAATAAACATTAGATGAATGGCAAGTTCAGTCTGTCCTGAAACAGACAGCCCATGTTTCTGCCATAATTAGCTTACTCATAATTGATAGGCAGTGTTGGTTCATGTAACCAAGTAACAGCATCTAACTGCAAAATCACAAATGCAGGGGAACTCCTGCAGATTCCACTGATGACGATTTCAACATGTGTTGACATTGCCTTAGATGAGTTCCCTGCCTTGCCTCATTGCACAGTTCCCTGGAAGTGCTCATTGCACAGTTCTCCCTGAGCCTTCTGTAGTTTATCTTTTTTTTTTCCCCAAAAAATAACTTAGTACACTTGGCCCTTTATGACTGCCCTCCCTTTCCATCAAGCTAGTTTCCTAAGTTTTCCCCCCATTAAGGTAAAGGTCTGTACTGTTGTATTTTTTAGGAATGTAACATTTTAATTTTTTTTTCTTTTTAGATATACAAGAAGTAGACTGCATTTTGACATATTATACATATATGGAGTATGACTTTTTCTAATTAGGATCCCATTCTTGTGGTTGTACATGATGTGGAGTTTCACTGGTTGTGTATTCATACATGAACATAGGAATGTTATGTCCAATTCATTCTTTCCTATTCTGAACATCTCCCCTTCCTTCCCTTCATTCCCCTTTGTCTAAACCAATGAACTTCTACTCTCTCCCCACCTGCTTATTGTGAGTTAGCAATTACATATCAGAGAGAACATTCAGGCTTTGGTTTTTTGGGATTGGCTTATTTCACTTAGCTTGATAGTCTCCAGTTCCACCCATTTATTGGCAAATGCCATAATTCCATTCTTTTTTATGGCTGAGTAATATTCCATTGTGTATATATACATTTTCTTTATCCATTCATCTGTTGAAAGGCACATTGGTTGGTTCCATAGCTTAGCTATTGTGAATTGAGCTGCTATAAATATTGACGTGGCAGCGTCACTATAGTATTTTTTTAAGTATTTTAAGTCCTTTGGGTATATACTGAAGAGTAGGATAACTGGGTCAAATGTTGGTTCCATTAGGAATGTAACTTTAAAAATTTGGGCTATTATAGTAGTGGTTATTACCAGGTTTATTAGGACTCTGGCTTCAAAATTATAAAGGTTTTGATTAATCTGTCCCTAACTTATCTTTTTAGCTTCTGTTAACTTCAAGCACACAATTTTACAAAAAGCAGAGGTTTTCAGGAATACATAAATCAAAGTACAATAGAATATGTAATATAGTCAAAATGACTCCTGAAAAATTGTTTTAGAAGTAATTGACATGTCAAATGGTCAAGTCCAACAGAGTTTATCCCCTTGCCCTATATAGTCTTAAGTAACTGGCCAGCATTTGGGGGCTGTTACTCAGCTTTTCATATCTGCAACTAAAATAACTGATAAGAATAACTTATAGCAGGAAAAGGTATTCTTCTTTCTTCTTTGTATTGGGGGAGGGGAAAAACTGGGGATTGAACACAGGGTCTTGTCTTTAGGACCTCATTAAATTGCTGGCTGTCCTCGAATGCAATCCTTCTGCCTCTGCCTCCCAAGTTGCTGGGATTAGATGTGCAATACCATGCCTAGCAGAAATGGTTCTTTTGACTCACTGACCCAGAGGTTCAGTCCATTGTCAGCTGACTCCTCCATTACCCAGGATCTGAAGTGAGGCAGAAGGGTCTGGTAAAGGAAAGTTCTCTCCTCATGGTAGCCAGAAAGCAGAGGGAGGAGAAGCGCGGGGAGGGGGAGGGATAGAATCACTCAAGGGCACACACCTCCAGTGACCCCACCTCCAGCCATGTCCCACCTGCCAGCAGCTACCACCCAGTATGGTAGTCCTGGTAGGTACCAGCTCTCATAATTTCACCTCTGAATATTCCTGCAACAACACAGGAGCTTTGGGGGGACTCCCATATCTAAACCCCAACAGGGACCTTTCATGAACAGTCCATATACTTAAATGCTTCTGAGTAGAGAGTTGTTCATGAGAGAGACCAGAGCTGAGTACATATCTTGCTTCATTTATATCTCACAATGACCCTGTGCCTTTGGTATCTCCAATTTTATTTTTCTGATGAAGAAAGTGAGGCCCACAGGGATGCAAAATTTGCTCGAAATTTCTGTACTCCCAAGAGGTGAGCACAAGTCTCAGCCTAGGGTTTTAGGCTCAAGTTCTTCCTTCCTCTAACAGCTTCCTTTCAGAAGTCACAGAGCTCCACCGGACCACTCTTACATCCATTCAAACCCCTTTCTACATCATCATGTAAAATTGTCAATGGATTTTTAAGTCTTTTAAAATCTAACTAGCATGTGGCATTTTAAAAAAGCGTTTTTATCGAAAATAAATGAAAACATCAATTAACACACTGTATAATATGGAAAGAAAATAATGGCCTATGGAATCAGACTTGTGCTCCTTTTATCAAATATCTATTCATTTTTATTAATGTGTTAGTATTTATCATTATGTTAGGCACTGAGGCAGAGTGGTACGGATGCCACCAGGGTGCTGGAGCTCAACTTCTAGTCATTTAACTTTATTTTAAAATGTACAGAACAGAAATATCATCTATTTTGCAGAATTTGGAACTATGAATATAGTATATCACACAAAGGAGCTGAAAATGTAGTCCACCCAAAATCCTGCACGTAGAAGTTTAGAACAACTTTACTCATAATTGGCAAAACTTAGGATACAACCAAGACGTCCTTCAGCAGGTCAATGGAAAGCAGTCTGTGATATATCCAGATAATAGACTATAATTCAGCATTAATAAGAAATAAATTGTCAGGCTATGAAAACATGAATCTTAAGTGCCTATTACTAAGTGGAAGAAGCCAATCTGAGAAGGCTACAGAGTATATGAACATTTGACATTCTAGGAAAGAAAAACGAGGGAGACAAAAAACAAATATCAGTGGTTGCCAGGAGTTTGAATAAGTAGAACAAGAAGTTTTAGGAATGAAATCACTCTATGAGATTATAATAATGGATCCACGTTTCTTTTATCCAAACAGTACGCACAACACCAAAACACCATGTAATGTGATCTAATGAAATCACCCCATACATTGGGATGATTATGATGCATCAATGAGATTCTTGATTGCAACAAATGAACCACTTTGGTGGGAAACCTTGATAATGGATGAGGCTATGCATTTGTGAGACAGGGGCATATGGGAAATCCCTGTACCTTTCTCAATTAATTTTTCATGAACCTAAAATTAATATTATAAAATTATTTAAAAACACTTTTGGAGGTCAAGGATAAATTAAACCCAGTACTAAAAAGGTTTCCAGAGAAGCACAAGCCTTAACTTCTTGCCTATTACCTTTATTTCTCATGTATATCTCTCCTAATAGCTCTTTCTCTAACCCTGACCCTACCAACTGTGGTGTATTTGAATGTGACAGTTCCACCAGAAAGATGGTGTTTGAAGTTGCTGTTCTGTAAGAACTCTTGACAATCAGTAATCACTTCAGATAAAAAAGTAATATCTAATGTAGTATCAATATAAGTTAGTATTTTAAAAATCACTATACACCTTTGAGAAATAAGTATTTATTTATGTAATATGTACATACTTACAAAACTGATTTTATCTAACACATGATTCTGCATAATATCACAAAAAGAACACCATGTCCCAGAAGTAAAAATCCACATAATTTATGTTTAACCCAACAACTTTTAAACATAGAATGTTATCAATTTGGCTTCATAAGTCACAAAGTCCTATTTTGAATTTTTTTTCCAGCCAAGGAACAGAATAAATTCAACAGCATGTTAATTTAGTCGACCCTGAGTAATTGCTAATTGCATAATTCGAATAGATATACATTATACAGTTTCATTTATACTCTTAAATGTACTCACACTTACTACCATACTATCTTTTTGCCTTTTTACATCCTAATTTTCTACTTCATTAATCCTCAAAAGACTGAGGAACAAAGAATGAAAAAGCAATAATAACAAAGAATCAGAAGATGAAACTACCAGCATCACCCAAGGCCTTTCCAACTTAAGAAGTACATGGCATAGCCAGGTCCATGGGTGTCTCAAAAACTCAATAGGGGCGTGGGGTTACAGCCCAGTGGTAGAGGGCTCCCATAGTGTTCTTGAGGTACTGGATTCTACCCCCTAGTACAACAAGAAACAAACAAGAAAAAAAATCCAATACAATAAAAAAAAAAATACAAGGAGAAACCTGGAACTGAGCAATAATCTGAGGTTGATGTTAAATTAATCTTCAGCATTTTTCCTATTTTTCTCGCACCAATTTAAATAAGTGTACAAGCTTATAGAATTCAACAACTTGGATTAAAATACATAAAACATGAAACTCAATAATCTGGGGTTCTTCAGAAGAAAAAAAATTTCAAGCTACCACAATAATGATAACAAACTGTGTTAAAGACAGGTTTTTCCTAAAAGCTTGGGAAAGAAAAAAAGCAAATAGCTATCTACTCACAACTTCCCAAAATGTTCTTGTGGAGTTATTAAGGAAATGGACAAGAAGAAAAGGCACAGAGGAGATGGAGGCTCTGGCCTTAAGATTGATGATCACAGCAAGACTGTCTGGCTAAGCTGCCAGGAGAGAGCAAGTTACTTTCCTTGATCATAATGTAAAAGGGAAATTCCAGGAGGTTGGGAAAGCTGAGAATGTGGAGTCAGCCATGCTCTATTGCCTTTCAGAGAACTGGGCCAAGGACACGGAGGCCAGACGAAAGCATGTACTTCTCTCTTCTATCTGCCCTTCTCTCCTCCACCTCTCCCACTCCTACTGTTCAGAAAGCAGCAGAAGGCTCACCAATAACTAGGTACAGGAACACTATCAAGCTCCAACCTAGCCATGGAGCAGCTCTGCTCCAGAAATTTGAGGATTCCAGGAAATGGCAATGTTTGTGATTCTATCAGAACAATCCTCAATGATATCAAATAAGATGTTTTAGACTTGGGAAAACAAAAATGGAAAGAAAAACTCAGATTTTTAGGCTCTATAAAATTTCCCTATAGTAGGAGGGAAAGTAGCAGAAATATTTTAAGTTTGGGCATACTTGTCTTCAGTCTACAGTAGACTGTTTGTGTCATGGGGCCAAAGCCCTGATAAAATACTGTTAGAGAAGGATGGACTTAAAGGAGCGAGGAAAATAGTATAAAAGGCTTCTCTTTTCACTCACAAAGAGGGAAAAATGTATTTTGATCCTATTACCCCAAACAAAAGTGCACCACAGCAACTTGTTATGTCTTGTTTCTGTTTCTCATTACTCTGAATGATATAAAAGTTGGAATTTCACTTTATGGTGCTCAGAAATGAACATACATTATAGTTTCAAAATGAATACTTAATTCTTCTCACTCTCAAGTAAAAAAAGGGGGGAAAATGAAATAATTACTTTAAATAACATTAACACAAAGCAAACCTTACATATGAAGACAGTGCAGGATACAACCTTCATCACCCTTTATAAAACTGCCAGATTGTGCTAATTCTTTTACATCAAAATAACAGTATAGAAGAGTAAATAAAATTACGTTTATATGTGAAACTATTATCAAAGTTATTTGAAGTTGCATAGAGTTCAACTATACAAGAAAAAACATTTACTTAATTTTTATTTATATAAATCCCAACTGTAAAATATATTACTTGAGGGGGGAAAAGCTTTCATTAAATACAAACATAACGAACTAAATAAACCAGATTGAATATAAAATAGTTTATTTGAAAATTTCCATAAAAAATAAAGGCAGAATGGCAGTTAGAAAAGTTGTGCTTAAGGCAAATGAAAGAAGAAGCAACCATACTTAAAATCTGAGGCATACCCTCTCATAGGCAATAAAGTAATCACCTCTCAAAAATGTCTTTTGTAAAAGTTTGGAGAATGGGTGGAAGCACATAAAATGGCCACTGTCAGAATTTATTCTTGGAAGTACTGAAAAGTATTATACAAAAATAATATGAATACTCTGATCTAAAATATACTCAAATTATTCGCCCTTTAGTTGTCATATAGCAATGAAAAAATAAAATGTATTACCCAATGTTCATAGTATAAATCTATAAAATGCCAAAACTTAGTTTTTTAAAAAAAAGGAAACAAGGATGACTTTCCAGATTGTATGTGTACATGATGACTAGACAGAAATGATCAATTCTGTATTTGGCTCACTTTGTATAAAACATGCATAAAAATGTGTGACATCTCTCTAAATACAAGTAGGTGTCCTAAGGTAAATTGTTGAGCAAGCTGCTCTCCATCAGACCTGAGGCCATGTGCACATACAAAAAAACAAAAAGAACAATGTTTTTAAAGAATATTCAATAGACATGTTCCTTAATTAACTATGTCTTCTTTAAAAACAAAACAATCAAGTACACATCTTTAAATTAAATGTCTTTGCACATGAATTTCCACTATATGAATTTGGTATATTAAACTGTGCTATAAATATATTTGTATATTTTTTTCTGAGAACTATATGCATAATTATATGATTATAAAAAGGATCTATTTCTTTTCTTCTATTGGAATGATAACATGCCTCTCTAGAAAAAAAAATTACAGCCTACAGGAAAATTACAAAACTGTTAAATTCATTGAAACTATTCAAGAAGGTATAACGACATCAAGCTAAAAGTGAAGAAAGTCTCAGTATCCTAGACAGGTCTTCCCTCACATGGTCCTAAGGGGCAGGCGCTGTTTATACATGCCTGCAATTGCTTTGGCAGCACTGTAGATCATCTGTCGACGAGACATGCCAGTAAAAGCCATGTGCCAATCAGTCCGGCTGACATTCAGTAAACTCTTTTCCAGAACTTCGCCCACTGTCACCAAAAGGCCTGACCACCTCAGATTATAGTCCTGGGGAGTTAGGCTTTGAGCCTACAGAGAAACAAAATCCATATTACTTATAATGCATTAAAATGTTGGAATTCGATATGTAACATCTCAAAGTAACATCTCTCAGGTTACTTTTAATATAGATTATGACAAATCCTGAGACACAGTTATACAGGCAATGGTATGAAGTTACAAGGCCATGAAAGAATCAAAATAATACAGCATTTATCTACTTTGTTAAAAAATAACACCATTATGCTCTTTGGTTGTTGCTCAAATATAATCTTGTGTGTGTGTGTGTATGCGTGCATGTGCGCATGTGTGTGTGGTGCTGGGAGTTGAACCTAGGGCCTTGAGCATGTATAAGTCTTAAATCTCAGAGCTGCACCTATACAGAGCTCAGAGTCAGACGACTTAAATTCTAGTTCCATATTCAGTGTCACTAGATTATTATCTTTGCTAAAGTTATCATTCTATAACCATAAAATTGCAACCAGAAAAAAAGGAAACTGCAATAATAAAGGCTTCAAAATTGCATGATTAGTCTGTAGAAAGTATCCCCAGAAACATGATTAGCATGTCAAGTAATGTCCACTCTAGGACAGCAACAATCATTATTATATCATTTGTAGCTGGCCCAACCTAGCTATATCTGCTTCCACTCAAAAGCCAGAAATGGTGTGGTTTTTCATTAGATGTGGTCAGAGGAGGTCATCCACACGTAGAATGGATCTACTGTACAGTGATCCCCAAATGTGGTGGGTATTACTATCTGAGGGGCTTCCCTCCACCAAAAAACCTTAGTTTCTCACACCCTAACTAAGAAATCTAATTGGAAACTCCATAGCTGGTTCCAGGAGAAACAAAACATATATAAAACAGCTTTCAAGTAAATTTGACAGAAACAGCACACCATCTGAAAAACCTGCTCCAGTGTTGTTTTCCAAAATATGTATTGCACTGTCAGTATCTGACTGTATGAAAGAGACATGGCAGAAAAATGATTAAGGTCTCTAGAGACACTATAAAACTGTGCCTCTCAAATTGCTATATGAACATAAATCCCAAGAAGTTCTTGTTAAAATGCATATCCTTATTTAGTAGCTCTGGGTAGGGCCTGAGAGGCAACATTTTTATCAAGTTCGCAGGCAATATTTAAGATGTTAGGCCAAGGATCACACTTCTGAGGAACAATATATTTGATATTATCTGCAAAAATCCAGAATAGCAGGCTTGTAAAGTGGGAGAAGGAAGAATCGTTCGCATTTAAGTTTATCAAGCATAAATTACATAAAACTTTTTCCACATTTTCACTACTATATCTACTGATGGTAACAGTTATTCCTTTAAAGGCTGATTTCTATTCCCTTAAATTAAAAAATTCCAATAATTCAGTAGCACAAACTTAACATATTGCGGGATGGATAAAAAGAAATATAAAGAGCTGAATAGCTAGAAATAAAAGGAAGGCATTTCAACGCACACACTACTGTATCTTCTGAATGTTAAAACCATGTGGCAAAAAAAAAAAGACAATAGAATGAAAAGTAAATGCCACCCTTTGAATATCACTCTTCAGTTAACCACATTAACAGCCTGCTGTGCACCTTTCCATGCCTTTTCCCTCTATTCATTTATATATACTTTAAAGGGTATATATGTACCTGTTAATAGGTAGGATCATACTAGCTGTGTTGGCTTTGACATTTACTTAGCAATATGTCATAGGTATCTTTAGATACTAGTATATGTAGGTCCACTTTGTTCTTTGAGTATCATGTCTATTTTTTTCCAATCTATAATCCTAAAAGTGAAACAAAAATTGTCTTTTTAAAATGGTCAGACATCTATCACAGGGGTCAGCAAACTTTTTCTAGAAAGAGCCCGAGAGTAAATATTTTAGGTTTGGGAACCAAAAAGTCTTTATGACAACTACTCAATTCTGCTGTTGCAGTACAAATGCAGCTATAAACAACATGTAAGCAGACTGCAGGGTGTGTTCCAATAAAACTCACTCACAAAAACAGGGAGCAGGCCAGATTTGACTGTGGGCCACTGTGTGTTGACCTCGATCTACAGCAACGTTAACAATGGCTGTGATAGGAACACCCTTGTAATTATCAGGTTTCTATGTTTTATCATTAGATCTGAAGTGTACTTTGATTTTCTGGTACACTTATATCCTTCTAATCTTAATTAACAAAGGTTATTTAATAGTACACTTAATATTTCTAGCAAATACCTTCAATTCTACTGAAATCCTTTTTATTCTTTACTCTGTTCATATGTTGAACTACTAAACTAATTTGCTATTGGCAAATGGTTCTTTGACTCTTGGAATCAATTCTTTATGGTCAGGGTATATGTTTTTCCAATGTATTTCTAAATTTTATTTATTAATTTTACCAATAATTCTGACCTTTAATTCTTAAGTGATAGGACTAAAATTTTCTATGGCGTTAACAGAGATGCTCTATCACCACGAGCATCACCTGTGAATATTCTGTAGGAGGGTTTCTGATTAGATGGAATTCTTTCACTATACTGCTTCGCTGAGGTAATTAGGTTGAATCATATGGAAGTGACAACATTTGACTGTTTTTGACTATGAATGACAGCAACTTTGTATGGTTCAACCTAATACTCTTGAAGCAACAAGTAAAATTTATATTTTTCTAGAAAAATCTATCATTTTATTTAATTTTTAAAAGTTAATGGAACAACAGTAATCTATTATTCATTTACAATCTTTTAATCACCTTCTCATTGGAGTGAATTTAGTTAACATCTATAAAATGGTTTTCTTAACCCTCTGAAAAGAAATTATGGTATAAATAAGTTTCAGCAAAATTTCAAAATTCCAAGCATTAATTCTTGGTCCCTTTTCGAAACCATAAACCTATAAAAGGCCAGTGATTGCTTTTAGCAATTTGATAAACTCACATGCCAAATTAATATGTAACTGTATACATGCATATTCTTGGGAGAAAACCCAGTAATTTCAAATGCCAATAGTTTCAGATTCTCAAATGCCGACATGTGCCAAATAATTGTAAGAGGGGAAAAAAGTTTAAATGCCATTTAACAGTACAGAAATTTCAGTATAGATATATGTTCCATTTTGTCCATTAGAGAATTAGAAAAAATTTATACAAAAATATAGAAGGATCATTACTTATGCTTACAATCTTATGGAAACTACACAGATAGGTACATGGTTAAATCTATTTTCAGTCAACAACCTTAAAGACATACCTGTCACCTAAAGTTTCTAATACTGACTTGTTACTAAAGATGAGTAACTAGAAAGGAAGATCAGATGAAAGAAAAAGGAAATAGAGATAACAGTGAAAGTAAAGATGTGAAATAAAGAGGAAAGTAAATGAAATGTGGACATAAGCAGAAAAGCAAACATTCTGATCTCAGAGTATGAAACATAATCATAAAAAAAAAGAAGCAAATGACAATTGGCCATTGAATGTATACCTCTCAAAAACAGGTAGAAAACAAAAACAGGGAAATAGTAAGACATGGAATGACCAGAGATCTGCACAAAGAAACAGACTAAAAGAGAAATAAAACAAACAAAATTAAAACATTTTAAACAAAAAATAAATTTAAAATTTGAAGGATAATATTGCAAGTTTCTCTGGAGCATAATGAAAAAGCCAAGAAAACCAACCTGTTGTACAAATTCCAAAGGCACCGGTGTGGCTTGCGTGAAAGCTTCTAGGTGAATGCCATGGACAGGGTCTTCAACTATCAAACAACCAATGTCAAACCACCTGCAACAGAACATGAGTTTCATACTGATTACCTGCTAAATACGTTACAGTGAACAAACAAAAAGGAAAAACAAACTAATTAAAAGAAAAATTAACCTGTAAGAAGACAATCCATAAAAACAACATAAAAAATTTCTTGGCTGGCTAAATTCCAAGAAGAGAAAAACAATCTAGAACAACAGCAAAGGAAAAGTTTAAAGGTCCCCTTGCTAAGACAGGGAAACAATGGAAACTGGGAGCTTAAATATGCAACAGATAAACTTATATTCATTCAAACATGAGTATAACAGCTTCTCATGAGTGATATTTTTAAAAATATTACTAGGCTCAACATGAGAAAGTTAATATATTACCAATTTCATTAATATTCAACCAATTAGTAAAGTTATTAGCAATTTTTAAAAAGTTCCTCCAGAGGGAAAGATACTTATAGGGGCTGGAGTTACAGCTCAGCAGTAGAGCACTTGCCTGGCATGTGTGAGGCATGGGGTTCCATCCTCAGCACCACATATAAAAACAATAAAGGCCCATCAACAACTAACTAACTAAATAAATAAATAAAGTCTATTAAAAAAATACTTATAAAAAAGCACAAGTTTCAAGTTATCACCTAAAGTTTCTAATACTGAGTTGTTAAGACAATTACAGCAACACCAGAATCTCTATTACATGAATTATGAAACAACCAGACACCGTGAAATCATGAATTTAAACAACAAAAGCATAGGAGCAGGAAAATAATCTCTATTCTTAAAAATATGCACATTTAATAAAGTGCAGTGTGTCGGGAGACTATTTACATATTCAGGGAAAAAAAACAAGTAAAATATGGAGTAATATAAGCAACTCCGCTGAATATTAAAATAGCAATCTGTAATGCCTATAGTATTCATATCCTAAAACTGCTACAAATTGAGAACACTATTACAAATATTTTATAATGTTCTAATATCCATAAATAAAATTTTTCAATCATCTAATTTATCCTAAAATGTAATTCCATAAAAGGTTAACCCACTAGTTTGGCATGGTAGATCACTCCTCTAATCTCAGCTACTTGGGATGGCAAGTTCCAGGATCAACTGGATGAGACTCTGTCTCAAAATAAACACTACAAAGGGCCAGGCATAGTGGCCCAGTGACTCTGGAGGCTGAGGCAGGAGGATTCCAAGTTCAAAGCCAACCTCAGCAATTTAGCAAGGTCCTAAGAAACTTAGCAAGACCCTATCCCCAAAAATATATAAAAAAGGACTGGGGATGTGGCTCAGTGGTTGAACACCCCTGGGTTCAATCCCCAGTGCCTAAATAAATAACTAAATAGTGACTTATTTTATATGGTATACTAATCAATATTTCATATTTTGTTACAATAATTTTTCTTACTCAAGAAAATGTATTTATGAAATATCCACAAAGCCAAGCTTAGCTGAATTTTATTTTGCATTATTTTGCATGATTTGTGTACAGTAATGTCTATCATGAATAGTATACTGACTAAACTGTTAAGCATGAGAAGCAGAGTCACTGAAGCATAATAGAATTTCTCTTGTCATGCAAGTGAATGCACATCAGAACTTCAGGGTCCCTTATTCTTTAAAATACTACCATGCTAGAGATTGGCTTCCCCCTTCTCTTCAAATCAGTCAACATGAAACTGCAATCACCATTATCCCTCCCCACAACTCCTCCACTTCTGTTCCCAGTGCTTCTTTCTAAGGAAACTTTCAGTTTCTCTCCCCGTCCTAAACAAGCTCTATTCCTTTTTAGGGGCCAAACACCTTGTATTTCTTCTTCAACTGCCTTGCTTTTCCTGAATTTGTCTTTTCTAGACTCAGTTCTAAGCATGCATTTTCTTGAATTTATTTTCTGTGCATTTATTTCCAGGAACTCTGAAAGTAGCAACAGTATGAAAGATCAAGTGTTGGGGATTCTAGCTTTTACTCTGTTGTCTTCTCTTCCCTCTCTCAGCACTCTGTGTACTTTACTGTCACAAACCCTCTGTCCTCTTTCCTCCTTAATCCATACTAGCAACCATCACCAGACTTCCTGATATTATTTAGTATTTAGCATTCTTGGTCTTTGTAGTATTCTACTATTTTGCTTAAAAGGTATTTGAGGGGGGAAATATCACATTAAGGTGTGATGGAGGAATTTATGGCAGGTCAGTGCTCCCGGTGAAAAGCTACATGAGTTACATCATATACTGAGAAAAACTGAAGAGCTGCAGAAATAAGGACAAAACACGAGGACAAAAAACCTTCCTTTCCCAGCTTAAAGCCTTAAGCTGACAAAGCTGAGACTGTGACTAAAACACACACTGCCAGCTTCCTCATACAGCTCTGCTTATAGGAGAAAGGTATGTACTTCTCAACATCACCTGAGGACTCTGGAGTGTTTTCTAAACAACATCTGGTTTTTGAAGATTAGTAGGCCTTCAGGGACAGCACCATATTCAGGGACAGACTAGAAGGAAAAGGAGACTAAAGTCCCAAATATTAGGATTCACAGACAAGGAGTTAAAATAACTGATGCAAAATAACTGAACGAAGAAGAAAGATAGTCAAAAGAGATGAATATATGTAGATACTCAGCAAATACATTTATTTTTTTAAAAAAGAATTTAACATATGAGCTGCCCAACAGGCTGGACACAGTAGGCAGGATCAGTGGACTAGAGAAGGAAGAAATTAATGAGGAAATAGAAAAAGCAGAGTTTGGAATAAAAACCTGACAATGTGGAAAGTGTGTGACTCTGTCAAAAGGTGAACAAGTTGTAATATGAGTCCTAGACAAAGCAGCAAGTCTTAAAGAGTGATTTAGAATCCCAAACTGATGAAGGACATCAATCTACAGAATCAATAAGCTTAGTAAGCTCCCTGTTCCTCCAGAAAAAAGAATTATAAAAGGAGGCCAGCGAACAAGACAAACATACCTAGGCATACCGCAGAAAAACTGCAAAAACAAAATGACAATGTCCTAAAAGCAGCCAGAACAAACAACAAATTATCTTTACACAAATGAAATAATATGATGATGGCTGACTTCTTTTTTTTTTTTTTTGGTATCAGGAATTGAACTAAGGGGCACTTAACCACTGAGCCACATCCCCAGCCCTATTTTGTATTTTATTTAGAGACAGGGTCTCACTGAGTTGTTTAACACCTCGCCACTGCTGAGGCTGAGGCTGCCTTTGAATTCACGATCCTCCTGTCTCAGCCTCCTGAGCTGCTGGGATTACAGTCATGTGCCACCGTGCCCACCATGGCTGACTTCTTAATTGAAAGTGTTGAAAGAATTACCAAGCTAGATTTCTACATCCAACAAAAATTAAGATGAATTAAAGCAATTTCAAGTAAGTAAAAGCGAAGAAAATTCACAGTGGGTAATCCTATATTATAATGTAGTATCAAAGGAAGTTCTTTAGGCAGAGGGAAGATTACTGACAGAAAAACAAAAATGTAGGAAGAACTTCAGAATCATAATAAATGAATACTGACTGCACAAAACAATACTAGTGATGTCTTAGGAGTTTAAAACATATGCAGAATTAAGATACTTGACAAGAATACTGCAAAAAGTAAAAAAAAAAAAAAGAGAGATGAACAGCTTTAAAAGTGATTCTAGGATTATCATAGCTTTTATTATAATGTAATACACCAAAAAGGCACACTGTAATTTCTGAGGTAATCATTAAATAAATAGTAAAAGGTTACTAGAGAGGGAAAACAAAATAATCATCATTGTGCTCACAAAGTTCAAACTTTTCAACCTAGAATGCAAAGCTCTTCACAAACTGTCCCCACTTCTTGAAATCCTATTCAAGAAACCTCTGCTAACCCTAGAATACCTTTTAATTACCTTCAAACATTTCCTCCACCCAGAATGTCCTACCTACTTCTTTCTACTTATCCAAATTTTACCTCCTTTTCAAATTCCAGTTCCAGTCTTAACCATTCCTGAATTTCATGTGACGTTATTTCCATACTGAGTTACCTCCACTGAAACTTCATATAATATTATATTAGTAAAAATTAGATAATTTTTATATAATCATATAAAGCAGTTCACTTGTACATAACTCTTCTCTCAACTGGCTATCTAATATGCCCTCAAAATCAGAGGAGTTTTCATTTCTTTTCTTTTTTCCATATTAGCCACAAAGTACTAGGCACATTGTTATTCTATACCAAACATACCAAAAAAAAAAAAAATTAACAAAACCACAATGCAATTAAAAAGAAAGATTTTTTAACAAAGGGTAGTTATTACAACAAAATGTAACTTAGCATATCCACAAAGGTTTTCCCATTGGGGGAAAAAAAAGAGCCCTCAAAAACAATGATCAATTATGCTATTTGGAAGTTTTCTAAACTAAATACATGAGAGAGTTCACTCAGTAGAAACTCAAACTCAGTGACTGCCATCAAGCGGTCTTGCTTGTGCCTTCCATTATTTTGAATTCATCATGTTGAAGGACTGTGTTTTCTACCCAAGGTCATTATAACCAACACTGTATCATCTTATATTTAGTACTATCTAGCAATCATCAGCACAATCTTAGAAAGCAGGCGTTATTATCTCTGTTTATAATTAAAAAAAAAAAAAACAGAAGCAAAGATAGAAGTTTCAGCTAAGCTACACAGGACACAGCTGGGTAAGGGATGGAGCCAGCATCAGAACACACTTTTCCTTCTGATTCTACAATAGGAGATAATACTTTTTGCTTGGCATTCCGTATGAACTCCCAGACCCAACTTTATTTTGCTTCTAAGAGAAATAAGTCTCTTACTTGTCAGGCAGCAATTCTGCAATGAAGTGTTCTATAGACACAGCAGTCTGCTTTTCATGGATCACTCCAGTTCGTCGCAAACTGTCTATACGTTCCTGGGCACCCTAAAAAACAACAGCATAGACTGGAAACCATTTTTCTAAAATATACTATTTTATGATTACACACATAATATTTGCAAGCATTTATAAACAAACACAGATATACTCACTATAAATGTTCAAACAATACATAAATATAGAGTGAAAACTGAAAAAGTCCAATCAAATTCGCTTAGTATTGAGTTTGGGGAACACATCCTAAATTATTCCCTTCTGTACTATTATGCTGGCTACCACTGTTAAATTGATTATTTTAAATTACATTTTCTAACTGAACACTAATATAAGAAAATTGCATTTTTTAGTGTTTATCTGGCAAGAGACCATCTTACTAAATAAAATTTTATCAATCCCAGTAGTTTCTTAGCCAATTCTCTTGACTTTTTATGTAGGCAAATGCTTTCTCTCTCTCTCTTTTTTTAATAATTTCATTTAAATATACATGCATCAAAATGACTATTTTATTTACAATAAAAACATGAAAATATGTTTATACCAAAGCTTATTCATGAAATAATTACCATTAATGAAGCAAAACTGAGTGGTTGGGAACACTGCACAGATAACTCAAAATCATGCACTAAACATATATCACACAATAAGAATTTAAAATTTGGATTAGTGAGGAATGGTTCATGTTTACTACTTTTATCTGAATCAGTTCATGAATGAAGTGATAAAAATGTTCATAAGGCAATGTGTTTAAAATCATCCCATTTCTGAACAAAATTAGTGATGATAATATACCAATTTTAAGGAAAGAAGAGCTAAACAAAGAGAACAAGAAAAAATGATCAATCTCATTCAAATGAAAATTAAGAAGGCTAGAACATTTTTAGGGACAAATAAATTTTTTTAAGACAAATGAAGAGAACATGACCACTCTAGGAGAACAGGTACAACATTTTAAGACACTACCTTGGAAAACTGAAATTATTTAAACTACAATAAAATCAAGACCAGATATTTTTGCTTGCTCTAGCACAGAGCCTAACCTAACAGGCATTCAAGTAAGAACTTGCTACGTGAAAAACTAAAGGAAAAGAAAATAAAGGCTTCCCAAGGCCTAGGTGGCAAATGTTCATTATATAAATAGTATAAATACAATGCCATTAAATCTAATGACACTGAAATAAGGAGGCAACTGCTGACTCTGAAAAAAAAACATAATAGGTAAGGTGAACTTATTTCTTTATAGTAGATATTATAAATTTCCCTAATTCACTCATCTCAGGAAGGAGTTATGGCTAAATTCTTCATTGATAAAAAACTTAAGGGCAGGGGACATAGCTCAGTTGGTAGAAAAGTGCTTGCCTTGCATGCACAATGCCCTGGGTTCAATTTCCAGCAACACACACACATACACACACAAAAAAAAAAAAGAAAGAAAGAAAAGAAATGAAACTCAAATACATGTTAATTTAAAAAAAAACAACAAATAGATTAGTGGGATTTTGCATCATCAAACCTAGATATCATGCTTCCAGGGAATAGAGACTGTCTCTTCACTTTTTACTATCCCACAGTGCAGAATTTATATTTAATATGATTCACAAAATATTCACCAAATTAACTGGTACCTGCAAGCTACAAGATGATAAACTAAGCAGAAAAATTTAATTCTTTTTTTGTTTGTGGAGTCCAAAAGAGAAAATGAAAATGAAGTCATATCTGGCCTTTTTTTTTCCCTCTGACTACTACATTAATTAAATGTGGCCTCTTTCATTGGAATTACAAGATACTTTAACATCAATCATTCTTCACAAATGTTCTAAGAATGAAATTTTATACTGTAGGAGGGATCAATAATTAGGTAAGTTAGAGCTCACAATGAAATAATCATCAAACTGAGCTACGAAACAGAAGGGTCCTAGAGCTTACATTGTACTCTGAGAATTTATACTAGGCAACTTGGTTCAGATAAGTAACTATACTTTTACACATCTTGAAATGGCTTCTAGGTATTATCTATATCTTTATTTGTTGAAAATAAGCTATGAAACACTGATCATAGCTATGATTTGCTTTTTGATAAAACTAATACCTGGCATAGAAGTTTCAGAAACTTCCTAACTTTAATTTTGGCTGAATTGATTCATTTCCTTAAATTATTTCATATATTTAAAGGGGCAAATTAAGTTTAGTTCAGAAAAACCACTCACTTCAAATAAAATCTGATAGGATGAAAAAACAAACTGGTTAAGTTTTGTATTTTAAGATTCTACATTAATTTTTTTTCTCATTAGCTCCCTCTGTTTCTCACACACACACACAACAACAACAATAAAAAAACCTGACAAATTAATAAAAATATTAGTTTTGATATTTTTAAAATATGTATATATTTTTAAATATCTTTATTTATCTACTTTTATGTGGTGCTGAGGATTGAACCCAGTGCCTCACATATACAAGGCAAGTGCTCTACCACTGAGCCACAGCCACAACTGTAGTTTTTATTTATTTAAAAGATTGTGAAAAAAAAAAACCATATCTAAATTTTAAAGGCAAAAACTTTAGAGCAGAAGTAAATCTGTCAAATATGAATAAAATCATGAAACAAACCAAACTACCAATAATACTCTCAAATAAGGTTTTTCTTGAGGAAAAACTCCCTATCAGCCTTTCAAGTTCAGTGTCGCTTTAAAGTATCTTGTGTGTAATAATATCTAATGAAACAAAATACTTAAGACCCATTAAAAATCATAATGAAAAAGCAGGCTTTCTACATGATCAATTTTTCTAAATTTATATTCTTTTGTGCTGCTAAAATTTTGTAAACTGTCCCCGTCTCCATCTTTAATACATTTTATCTTCTTAAATATGTATATTTGCACCCTTTCTTTTTCCCAATGACAAGCTCATACTTCAGTACCCAATCATCTTTCTGAATGCCTGCAATCTCAGCATCTATTCTTACTCTAACCCCTACAGTCTTCACCATCTTTGCTTTGAAACCCAAAGCCATACATTGTCACTGCTTAATACAACAATGGCAAGTTCTAATCTCCCAGATTCAAATAACCACTACTAGAGAATTAAATGAATAAATTTTTTTTGCCACCCCACCTATGTAATACCAATACTGTCCTCCATATTTATATAGTACTTCACAATACACAAAGCCCTTGCTTTAGTCTCTAAGTTCAAAGAAATGTACTTACCATTTTCTTTGTTCAATAACCTGTTTCTATTTTAGGATTTTATCCAGGTTATCCTCTCTAAAAGTAAATCTGGAAAAGTCTTCTTTCTCAGATCATTAATACTTTCTAATTTGCAAAAGCACTCTTGAAATTTGGAAAGTACAAACTCAGTCTTAGGTATGTGACTTGCATCTTTAAAGTAAATATAATCTTTTATAATGTTAATATTTACCTGTGCACAACTGATCAAATGTACAATTATTATGTATACAAATTTAACTTACCATACTTTTTTCAAAATTAGATTGAAGACAAACCCCACAGTCCACAGTTAGCTTTGCTATATTTTATAAAGAGTAAACCATAGAAATTCTAACTGAAAATGTGTAGTGAAAGCCAAGTTCAAGGGAAATCCCCCAGAAAGTAGAAACATTTCAAAGTGCATGTATTCTTCACAGCATTCTTCTATAAGAACAGATAATTATGAAAAGTAATCTGATTTGTATTGTATATAATGCACTATATTTAGATATAATGTAACCATTTTACCTGACAGCCTCAAATTCAGAAAAGTGATTTTGGGTGGTGGGGGGCATGTAAAGGGCTTCATATTCTATTCAAATAAAGTACTAAACATGAAAAAGTACCTCAAATTCATAAAGCACTATCCAGTACAATTTAAAATAACCTAGTATCAATGTGGGATAATTATATTTAATAGCTAATTATAATCAAAACTTGATATATGCTATGCTAGTTACCTCATTCTGTTATGAAGAGAGTGAATAAGGTAAAGTGGCTTTCAGATGGTCTCAGTAATGTACACTATTATACATTCCTTATGGCCAGCATGTCATACCAGAACGTATTTCTCCTTAACTGCAAATACAGTTATCCTCATTATTTGTGAATCCTGTATCGGTGAATTTTACTCATCACTAGAATGTATTTGCTATCTCAAAATCAGACATACACAGAAGCACAAGAAATTTGAATTGTCTGATATGCACATTTCCCAATATGCACATTTTCAATTACATGAATAAAGAATACTATCTGTGCCTTCTTGTTTCAGTTTGTGTACTGGAAACAAGTGTCTTTTTCTCTATCAGTGCCTTGGTTTGGCATTTTTGTGCTTGTTGTTGATCTCTCTGTTTCAAATGGCCTCCAAGTGTAGTGCTATATGCTGCCTAGTGTTCCTTAGCACAAGGAGGCTGTGATATACCCCATGGAGAAAATGTGTGTATTAAATAAATCTCATTCAAGCATGAGCTACAGTATTGTTGCCTATAACATTTCAATATAATGAAGCAAAACAAAACAAAACAAAAAACACCAAAAACATGTATATAAAGATGTATTTAAACAGAGCACAAAAAATATAGGCTGGCAAAAATGTAATCCTGTATTTCCCTTGCAAACAATGGTTCAGTATGCCCTAATTCAGTGTCTGAGGCAACCTCCTAAGACATAACCAGAACAAAAGCCAAGAACTATCTGTCTCACAAACAAGATTTCTTAATGAATTATAAATGAGAAGTACGAGAAGCTAAGAATGATTCCAAGGTTTCTTGCCTAAGAAAATGGAAGGATAGAAATGCCATCTATTGAGACAGAGACAAGTGGGAAAGCAAGTCTAGGGGACAGAAAAAGTTTAATTGTAGGCATTAAATTTAAGATATTCAAGAAAGTCATCCAAAGGGCAAGTTTTATATAAATTAGGACTTAGGTCTCAGTGGAGACAGAAACAGAACTACTGGTACACCTAAGAGGCTTAAGACCAAGAAAGGTAGGAGATCACTAAGGGAGTAGACAGAGAAGAGGACCAAGAAGAGGCCGAGAAGAGGCACAGAAACATCAGGGAAACAGTGAACCAGGAAGCCAAAGTGTGGTATCAGGAAGACAAGTGAAAAAAAAAAATTAAGAAAGAGATGGAGACAACTGTCTAGAAAGCCACTGGTAAGTCAAATAGCACGGAGAACCCTGAACTGTCAGGGGAGTGATGCAGGCAAACACCTGCTCGGGGCAGGTTTAAGAGACTGCAAGAGAAGAATTAGAGAAAAGTGTTGGCAACTCTCAAAGAAAGCAAATTTAAGTAGTAGGGTATAGGGCAAATGAGGTCAAAGAATTTGGTGGTGCTTCCTTTGGCTTATTTCTTTTTTAAGTTGGGAGAGACGCTTGTATGCCACTATTTATCTGTAACAGTACAATAGAGACCAAAGAAAAAAGAACTTAAAGAGGAGAGTGCAGAATTCCTGGAACGTTAACATTTTCAGGATTATTAATACTAATAATAACAAATTTGTGAGATTCAATATATATTATAATTCTAGGTGCTGATCTGAATGTTGTTACTAAGTTTTAAAGATTTCTTTTGGGACTCTCTTTTTGTGCTGAGTATATTTCAATCCTTCCACCAATAATTACAACCTATCTTAGATTTCTTTAAATTAAAACTCCACTATATCTTCAATATACCTAAGAATTTTCTAACTAAAAGTAATCATTAATTCAACATCATTATAAAAACACAATTAGCTCCATATAAACCACAACATCATTATCACAATGATGAAAAATTAATTGAAAGGGAAAAAGGTGTTTTTACTCACTTTTAATCCAGCTGCATAGCCCACTGGTTGTGGGGCAATATTAGATTGTCCAGCTTCCCCTATAACCACAGCTAAGCCAAAGACTTCCTGAAAGGCATCTCGGACAGCAGCCACTTTTACTTCTTTATTTGAAGTCACCACAATATCCAGCTCACCTCCAGATTCTACAAAAAAAATTACAATTCCAAATTAAAATAATGAAATTCTCATAATTACTACCATACCATATGCTAATATTTACATAATTACTCCAACTTCATAAAACCAGGCAAGATAAAAATCATTACCATTTTTGTATGGCTAAGGAAACTGAAGCTGACAAAGTCTTGCCTTAGGCAACACTGCTGTTTAGTGCTCATGTCAGGACCTGAACCCTCTTTTTACCACACCATTTGATATAATCAGATACATTTTTCACCCTTTAATCAAGTATAAGAGCATCTCATTCCAACATGTGATTAGCCCCAAACTGCTAATTTTTTCTAAGTTTTAAAAATAGGAATTTAATACAGTATATGAAGGAGTCTTAAATGGTACATACCTTCTAATAATTCTGAGTATCATATCTGCCATAACTAGGATATTTTTTGGTAGTCTATGAAATGTTACTGAATACAACAGTAGTTTGCCTGAAAACAGTATTCTGTAGTCAAACACTGTGGGAGATACTGCACACTGCATCCCCTTCTGTGAAATTCACAACATACACTGACAGAGCAGAGATTCTGAGAAATCTCACAAATCATGAGTTTAGCCAAGTTCTTCCCACATTTAATCTGTTCATTGAATACTTTTACAGCATCTAATAATGGTTCCTAAAAGTACTCCACAGATTATTTATTTGGGAATTGATGACACAACAGATATGAAAACAGCTTATTTGTCTACCACACTAATTTAGCTAAGCTTCTTCTAATTAAAATTTGGGTGGAGACATTAATTGCATTTTTAAGATTATAAATACAAATAATTATTCTGTTATTAGTTAATAAAAACAGATACTTATTATATGAAACTTCTAATACCATGTGCTTGCCAGTTTGCAGTCCTTCAACTACACAGCAATCCTAGACTTAAACTTCCAACTTGTGAAGTATAAGTTATATATTTGTGATATTCCAGAAAATGAAAATAAAAACTATTACTAATGGCAAGTGGTGCATCAAAGAGTTTCATAAAAACTATGAACTAAAAACAAGAACTCTCATAACATAAGCTTTTTATCAAAGAAATGTTTCAGTATGGGGATCATCAAATTTTTTATTCTACATCTTCATCATTTTTAAAAAAAGCATTTATCACACATTTATTTGTAAATTACACATGCACTACTGTCCTAATAAAAATATTTAAGCATATCTGAAAACCGAAATAATTTATGAAATTTGAAATTTTAAAAAGGTGAGTATACCACATTTTATTCATCAGTTCAAATACTTTAACTTTCAATTATACTAAAAACCTGTGTTTTTGTCAGAGTACTAATCTCCAGGATATATAAAGAACTCAAAAAACTTAATACCAACTAAACAAACAACCCCATCAATAAATGGGCTAAGGATCTGAACAAATACTTCTCAGAAGAAGATACACAATCAATCAACAAATATATGAAAAAAGGTTCAGCATCTCTAGCAATTAGAGAAATGCAAATCAAAATTACTCTTAAGATTTCATTTCATTCAGAATGGCAGTTGTCAAGAATACAAACAACAATAAGTGTTGGAGAGGATTTGTGGGGAAAGACATACTTTTACATTGCTGGTGGGACCACAAATTGCTGCAATCAATCTGTAAAGCACTATGGAAATTCCTTGGAAAACCTGGAATATAACCACCATTTGACCCAGCTATCCCACTCCTCAGTCTATACCCAAAGGACTTAAAATCAGAATACTATAGTAATGCAGCCACATCAATGTTTACAGCAGCTCAATTCACAATAGCTAAACTATGGAACCAACCTAGATGCCCTTCAATAGATGAATGAATAAAGAAACTGTGCTATATATACACAATGAATATTACTCAGCATTAAAAGAGAATAAAATTATGGCATTTGCTGGTAAATGGATGGAGTTGGAGAATATGCTAAGTGAAGTAAGCCAATCCCAAAAATGTTCTAATAAGTGGATGCTGATACATAAGGGGGGTGGGTAGGATATGTGAAAAATGGAGGAACTGTAATTGGGCAAAGTGGAGGGGAGAGGATATGAGGGCAGGGATGATGGTAAAATGAGCTGGACACTCTCACACTAGGTACATGTACGACTGCACATGTGGTGTGATACTATATCATGTACAACCAGAGAAATGAAAAGTTGTGCTGCAATTGTGTACAATGAATCAAAATGCATTCTGCTGTCATATATACCTAATTAGAATAAATAAATTAATTTTTAAAACCCTGTACTTTATTTCTAAATATAACTATTTGACCAAGTATGTTTCATTATTTTAAAAAATCTTAATCTAATATTTTGCGATACAAGTTGAGTATTATCCCTTATCCAAAATGTTGGAGATTAGAAGTGTTTTGGATTTCCGAATTTTTCAGATTTTGTAGTATTTACCTATATATACCTAATGAGATATTCTGAAGACAGATCCATGTCTAAACGTTAAATTCATGTCTATTCCATACACACCTATACACATAGCTGGAAGGCATACTATTTTTAGTGAGTCTGCATTTTGACTGTGACCTATCACAGGTCAGGTGTGGAATCTTCCACATGTGCCATCACAACAGTACTCAAAAACTGTCAGATTGAGCATTTTGACTTCAGATTTCAAGATTAGTGATGATCAACCAGCATGGTAAATTCAAAGGCCTGGTTCTAAGCACAGTATATTCTGATATTTAATAGCCATTAATGGCTATCCTTGGTAAAAGAGATATCTCATGAAAGATGTTTGTAAGTAAAACATCTGCCTCAAAAGCAAGGCTATTTTTTCCAACTAAATATCTGTGGAACAACTGAAGGTTATTTTTTATCAAAGACTCCTTCTCCTTGATTATGTAATATTCCACAGATCACTTCTCAACTGGGAATTTCAGCAGTTATCAGAACCTACAAGCAAAGGGTCACATAGCAAAGAGAAGAATAAACACTCCTTTCTCACTTTTTCTTCCACGTGGGACATGTCATTTTTTTAAATTGATGAGTATAATTATACATAATAGTGAAATTCATTATTATATATTCGCACATGTACACAGTAGATCAATATAATTGACATAGCTTGACTATCACTAAATACTGATCCATTCAGCTGCAGCTCAAAGGCTTTTCAGTTTGTGATGAGTGGCCCTGTCTTTAATGATAATAAAGAGAACTAGTTAAAAGAATTTAGAAAGATCCAATTTGGAGGCAATTAAAATCTGTTTCTCACAGTTCTTATGATTTCTTTGATATATTTGAAATTTTATATCAAGTGATTTCTAACATATTTGTGTAAAAATGCCATAAGTTTTATTGTTTTGTTAGATCAGAATGGTATTGCTTTTGCTGTCAGTAAAGTGTCAGCTTTTACACACTGTTGTATCACATATTAAAGGTAACTAATTATATGTTGTCATAATAACAGAAATTTCATTTCTATATCTTTCTTCACCACCCCCGCCTTTGATTTTATGCCTTTTTCTTGATGTTGTGCAGATTACTGGTTTGAGAAATTATCTTGGGTTGGAGTCCTGGCTTTATCATTTATCAGCTTTGTTACTTTGGGGAAGTCACTGAGCTTGTTTCTTTGTAGAAAACTACCTGCCACCACCTGCCGTAAGGATTAAATAATTGCTTTTACAGTCTAACACAGACTACATCCATTAAAATAGCAAAACCTCCAAAAATATACATTTCTTTCCTTCATTCAAAATACATACTTCTGAAGAAAAGAATATATATAATGCATTAAGTATGTCAAACTGGTTATTACGAATATACAAAACCAAATATATAGAGAGTCAAACTTCTCAATTCTTAGACTGTTATAAACATAAAGAACAACTGAATTGGTCTAAATTTTTTTTAAGTTTCATAGGCACTTTTTATTTGATATAATTTAATTCAGAGAATTATCACAAGACTACTTTTTTCATTCCACAATGAGTCAGCTTATTTTAGAAAGGGACATACAAAATTAGCTATGTTGTCATGGTTTCTTGGCTTCTAGGAGTTCTTGTGAGATGCCTTTGTATTTTCACTTGATATATCTCAGCACTATTTTATTTTTATTTATGTATTTTTCTTATATATGCCATTCTTTTATTTTTTTAATTTGTTTTAATTAGTTACACATGACAGTACAATGATCTTGACATATCATACATTTGAATCAGATGGGGTATAATTTCTCATTTTTCTTGGTCTAATTTTTGATTGAATTTTCTACTTCAAGGGAAGCAAAGTGGCTAAAATGTAAAAAATTAAACTTGGATTCAATCTAGCTTCACCAAGCTATGTGTATGTGACCCAAAATAATTACTAACACATCTTTGAATTCAATTTCCTGACCTAAAATTTGAGAAAAATACCTACCTTCCAGAACTCTTATGAGAATTAGTACCTGGCAGAATAAGTATTCAATAAATGGTACTTAATCATTGCTAGGTCTTGTCCACTGACATGTACTAGACAGTGAACTAACAACAGAGTTAAGACCAGTGAATGCTCTTGATTTTATACTAACACTAAAAATAATTTTCCTATGTACCTATATGAATACAGCATAGTGAATCTTACCATGATGTACATCAACAAGATTGGAGCCCTAATTAGAATAAGATATATTCTGTGATTGTATATCAAAAATAGATTCTACTGTCACATATAACTATTAAAAATAATAAAAAATATAAACAAACAAATTTCTGTTTGAGTACCTGTAATAAAGCTCTGGTTTACAAAAGATTTTCTATAGGATTACTAATAATGGTTACTGACCTAGATAAGAGATATTACTTTACATACTGAATATGTATACAAAAGCTAAATAATAGAGAGTATCTCTATGCCAACTGTCTGAAGGATTCTTGGTGACAGGAGCTTAAAGGCATTTAAAATAGTTCTCCCAACAAATCCAGTAAACATTTATTATTAATAACTAGATTAGCATCCTTAAAAATATTAATCTTGACTTAAGCATACATACATTATCTAAAACAACTAGAAAAAATCCCAAACCAAGTATGAACAAAAGCATCACTTCAAATGTCAACAGTGAATAAAATAAAACAAATTAATACAAAGCAGTACTAATTTATATTTTTAAGAAAATAAGTAATGACACTAAAAATTCATATTGTTTTTACAGTCTATTCTGTGGAGTTTTCAAAACTTATTTAATGGTGACTAAGCAAAGGGTGAATTAATAGCACCAAAGCTAAGATGGACAGCTTAATACAAGAATATAAGAGGAATGTCCACTGATTACATGACCAATGGAAATGAACTGAGAATTACAATTAGTGGCTGACATTTATGCACACTTTAAAACATGGCAGATACGTTTAACTTATATACATACTAATATATGGAGCCATGCCAGGGTCCAGCGTTGTAATCATGCTTTCTACTGAATGTTTTGTCTTATCAAGCACAGACTTCACCATAGGATTTCCAGCCACACCCTGCATGAAACAAATTAGTACATAAATTCATAGATACTCATTCAAAACAAAGAATATCATGAACTTTTTGACTGTGAGGAAAATTTTTAAGTTTACAATGCATCCCAGACCAGAACTTTTTAAAAATATTTATATATAAAAAAATGAGGTTGGAGCAATGTAAATTGTTATTATTAATATTTCTAAATGGTCCTCTCAAGTTCTCTTCCCGTTGGCATCACAGATCCATAGCTGTGTGTAAACTAGCAGCAATCTTCAGACCACATTTTGAATAGCCCTGGCCTGGAATGTATAATATTCTATGTACATTTTATTTATAAATATATTTTTATACTTCATCTCTACTTATTTACCTAAAATATTAGATGAAACATCCCTCAGGTTCTCAAATACAGACTGGAATCTGATGTCTATACATATCCATACTCTGTTCCCTAATACACAAAAATAGTAAAAAAAAAAAACAAAAACAAAACAAAAAAAACACTTTTCATTTGCATCCCCCTGAATGGTTCCCTATTACTTTAACATATAACATTTAGCTATCTTCTTTTAAAGTTTCCTTTCTTCCTACTTCCAGTTTCTCATTTTGTTCATTCCCATTCTCTTCTCGGCCAGACCTCTTCCTCTGGAGTCTTAGAACCACACTGTTAGGCTTAGGAACCACATCTCAGGGCCCATTCTTTCCTTCTGCTTCTCCCAGAGTGAAAGCATCCGAGGAAGCAGTGCCTCCTGAGATGGCATCTGAGTAATAAGTCAGATGCCCTCTCTCCTAACTTACCATTAAACTAAGGCAACTCAGAACAAGATGAGTTCCTGAGACTGAAATTTAAGACTACCTACCAACTGCATGCTAGGAACCATGAGCTATTACTATTCCAAGCCCTGGAGAGCTAAGCTGGGGATGACGAGTGGAAAGAGAGACGTTCTTGGCAAGGGATAAAATAGTTATAGTCTCTATGCAAAGAAAAGTTTAAAAAAATTGTTTTGTAGTTGTAGATGAACAGAATGCCTTTTGTTTATTTTTTATGTGGTGCTGAGGATTGAACCCAGTGCCTCATACATATACTAGTCAAGTGCTCTGCCACTGAGCTACAGCCCCAGCCCACAAAGAAAACTTTTAAATTACAAAATATTTTTTTAAAAAGGAAGCTCTGAACAACGCCAGTCATAAAACATGAAGCTTAAATAATGTAAAATTTCACTGAATCACTTACCAATGTAAAAAATATTTAACATATGTAAAAAAAAAAAAAAAAAAAAAAACCATTCAGAATATTGGGAGTAATTTGGCAGAATGATTCCAAAATTCATTGATAAAAATAAGTGGGAAAGACCAACAATTAATGTTTTGTCTCAATAAGCACAGATAAGACACAACATTTGAAGACAAATCAGCGAGCTTATGCAACTGAATACTGACATATTTTTGAATGGAGAGACTTCAACTGCCCTCTCTATCGTATGCATCACTGAATGCCCCCCATACCCATCTCAGCACACAGCAGGCTTTCAATATATACTAGTATAATAAATGAGCCTAGAGTTAAATTAACCCAGGATGTTATTTATCACTGTGCTAGATCTTTTCCCATATAACGTCTTCTTGGGACCCCTGTCCCTACCCTATCCTTTGTCAAACACTGTATTAATTTCTTTCTGTTGTTTTGCCTTATTTAGGGTGTCATATATGAAATAAAATATGGCTTAATTTTCACTTAATATAATGCTTTTGAAATTCATCTGTTATTGGAAGAATCCAATTGCTGAGGAGTATTCCATTGTATGGGTATATAATTTTTCAATCCATTCAGCAGTTGGTAGATGCTATGATTTGGATGTGTTTTGTCTTCTAAAGGCTCATGTGCTAGAAACTTGGTTCCCAATGCAGTGGAGCTGAGGTTGTAAAACTTCTAGAAGTGAGGCCTAGTACAGGGTGATTAGGTCAGAGCAGCACTGCCCTCAGAAGAGATTAATACTGGTTTCATGAAGTGAGTTAGTTCTTGTAAGAACAAGTCGTTATAAAGCAAGGCCATCCCACAGGCTCAGCCCCTTCTACGTGTACTTCTCTGCCATGTTATGATGCAGCCAGGAAGGCCTTCACCAGAGACCAAACAGATAGAACCACTGGATCTCGGACTTTCAGCTTCCAAAACTTCAAGCTACCTAAACCTATTTTCCTTGTAAAGTACACAGCATTAGATATTTTGTTAAAACAATATACAACAGATAAATGCAGTAGATGTTTAAGATGGCTACTATTAATATTCATGTACAAAATAAAATAAACAGTATGCTAATACTGAAAAGAAAGGCAGAGGGAGTAGAATAGAGTTTAGAAGCTGACATTAACATACAATTTAGTAACTAAAATAAAGGTGACATATCAAGTCATTGGTGACATGAGGTTCAACAGTCCATTAAGCAGCTGAAAAATAATTGTTTGAGCTCTACCTCATATAGTAAAGTCTTTCGGCTATATTAAATAGATGTAAAAAATGAAATGATAAAAACCTTAGAAGATACCAAAGAAAAACATTCATCAAATATTATGGCTAAGAAAAGGTCTTTTTTTCTTTGTAGCATAAAAACGTAAAATTGAAAAGAGATTTACAGAAATGACTCCTAAAATTTTAAGAACTTTGTGTCAAAAAGGATAATAAAATTAAAATAAAGAAAACTGCAACATATGATTTGGGCTAGGGAAGTGGCTCAGTGGTAGAGTGCTTGCCTGGCATGTATGAAGTCCTGGGTTGGATCCCCAGTACCAAAAACAAAACAACAACAACAACAACAAACCTTAGGAATTCTTACAAATTCAACAAGAGAAAAGAAAGTTATCACAAATTAAAAATAAAAAAAAAAAAGAACAGAATTCGCCAAAAAAAAAGTGGCAAAAAAATCTCAAGAAAATATGTTCAAATTCAGTACCTAGCAAAGAAATACAAATTAAAATGAGGTTTTGAAATTTTTTGCCTATTAAATCATAAAATACTCTATTTCAAATTAACAACTAGTGCTGCCAAATGAAAAATGCTGAACAATGTATGTTGGCATAATACATGATTTTTAAAATGTCTACTTGAACATTGACCAGAAATTGAATCAGAGATAACCATAAAGATTTACATACAAGAATGCTCATCATAATTTTATCGATAAGAATAATGCTCATCATAGTTTTATCGATAAGAATTACAATTAGGAGAAATTATACAACATGGTGACTTATACTTAACAGCAATGGGTTGATTCTTGAAAAATCACTGAGAATAGATTTCAAGTTTTCTCACGATAAAATTATATGTGAAGTAATGCATATGTTAATTGACTCAATTCTGTTATTCTACAATGCCTACATATTTTAAAACATCATACTGTATATGATAAATCTGTATAATTTATTTCTGAATTAAAATTAACTCACTAATTTTCAAAAATTACAATTAGAGAATGTCAGTATTAGATCTGTAAAATAACAAATGGGAAGTAAATGCAATAGAATGCATATAAAGTAGCCATTAAAAATGCACTCTGAAAAATATTTTATGGATGGGAAAATGTTCATGATAATTACTAGGTAAAGACAAACAAAAAAACACAAAATAATACCCACATCACTATCTATTTGAATTTAATTAACAGAATACACAAATATCCATAAATATGCACAAACAACAGATTACAGCAACCACAGAAAACTCATAAGAAAAAGGACTTTTATTCTTTCCTTATGAATTCTGTACTTTAAAAATTTCTCTAATGAACACATATCAGTTTTATAATTAGAAAATTAAATATAATTTTAAAGTAAATATTCCTTACCTTAATAAAACCCCAGATTCCACCAGCAGATGCTTCATCCTGACCTCTATTAATCCTAGGATCTTCTTGTTCCTCTGGGAAAGTGATGGCTGATGTGGTTCCAGTTCCCGGTGCCAGAGATGTCAGACTAGCTTGCTGAGTAATAGGAGTTGGCAAAATACCTATTCAATGGAAAAAATTTTAATATGTTAATTTATTCCACAAACTTTGTTCCTGTAACAAGACAAAGCAAATAAGTAGCTTAAAACAATTTTAATAATGTAACCACACAGTTAAGCATTTCAAGATTAAGTTATACAATTGCAAAAAATTTCTTTCCCTTTACATAGGCTTACACCAAGTGTCCTAAAAAAGGACAAATACACACGCATGTGCATACATATATATATAAAAAAGTTTTGCATGCTTGTCCCATTTAGCACTTGGATACAGACAGCTGTAGTTCTAATCTCCTTAATCCACAAAAATAATTGGGCAACAAGCCCATCAATAAAAAAACAATCAGTACATATACTTCAATTTAACACAAAAATAAAATTCATATAAACAGACAAGGGTATAATACCTGTACTCTGTAATAAATTTTGTTTGTAAAGGCAGATAGGCAAAGTTGAATAACAAAAAAATTACAGCAATGTTGTTTATTTTCCCTAAAATGAGAAACAACAGGCAGAATATGACAAGGATCATGTCCCCACAAAAACTTGAACACAAACTTCATAGCAGCATTATCTAAATAACCAAAACATGGAAGCAACCTAACATCAACTGATGAACTGCATAGCTAAATACACTAGATCTATTATTCAGCCATGAGAGGAATGAAGTACAGACACATGCTATAAAATGCACGAATCTTGAAACTATTTTCAGCTAAACTGATGCTAGTCAGAAAGACCAGTTATTACACGATTCCATTTATATGAAATGCCCAGAATACACAAACCCATTAAAAAAAAAAATCACTGGTAACAGATATGAAATTTCTTTTTCTGTTGATAAAAGATTATGAAATGGATTATGGCAATGTATGCAAAATTTTGTAAATAAACAAAAATTAGTGATTATATGAACTGTATTTCAATAAGGCTGGAAATTTAAAAAGAATAAAACATTTACTATAGCCATATATTTCAAAGCATTAATAAGAGAAAACTACCTGTTACTGGAGGTGCAGAAAATGAGGGCATCAGAGGTGTCTGGGGAGCTCTTCCTGCATGTCCCCTTGTAATATCATAAGTTGTACCAACAGAAAATCCTGATATAGGAGGACCGGAAGTGGGTGCAGGTAAGAGAGCACTCGGGGCAGAAGTTGAAGGTGGAAAGTGGGATAAAGGAGGACTGGTGAAGGCAGCAGCAGTTGATGGAGAAACAGCAGGTGGCCCAGAAGTACCAAGTGGTGGAACCGAAGGAGCTGGTACAGGAGGCACAAAAGGTAGTGGTGCTGTAGGCTGCACTGGAGGATGGGCTGGTGAAGGAGTAGGATAGACTTGTGGTGGCAAGGAGTCCACCATAGACACATTAGGAGAAGAAAAAGAACTGGATGCAGCTGGAAAAAAAGTGGAGAGGATAAAAATCACAAAACTGAAAATACTTTTTATGTAATCATCAAACTCTCATTAGTGCCTTGCAAAATTTTTTAATTTAACAGACCATATCCCAAGAATTAAAATATGTAATTTAAGATATACAACAAATATGATTGAGCGCAAATGATTATCAACTCCCCTAACTAAAAGCAGCAGGCAATACTGAAATGCATTATGGCATTGTTAACAAGTAGATCTGTCTTTTTTGGTGTATTTGAATAAAATAAAACTATTTTTCACCCCTGGTTTGTAGATAAAAACCTATACACAGAAAACTCAAAAAATCACCACAAAATCATTGAACACCAGACAAAGAAAATACATGCTTTTTAGGACATTTCTATCATAGTAAAAAAGATGACTTGTAGTCAATATAAATATAAAAAGAACAAAATCAACCTAATATAAAATATTGGTATTTTCTAAAATAGCAATAAAGTAAGACTATTTCTTTCCATTCTTTAAATTTAAAAAAGGCTATTTTCTTTCATCCTGACAAATATTACAGAAAGTTTAATATATTCTTCTTTTAATTGATTCAGAAAAGATAACAGTGTCTTCATTTTCCTCAAAACACACTAGGTAAGGGCTGGAGATATAATTCAGTTGGTAGAGTGCCTCACATGCACAAGGCCCTGAGTTCAGTCCTCAGCACCAAAACAAACAAACAAACAAACAAACAACAACCACACTAAGTATGAGACAACACATGTACCTATAGGAACAGGGGTAGAAGACATGGTGGCAGCAGCCAGCCCTGCAGGATTCGGTGGAGGAGTCCCAGGTGGTGTTGTCTCTATTCCACTTTCTTCCATCATTTTTCTTCAACAATGGTATGCTGCAAAAATGTAATAAATTTCACACAGTAACCAAAATTATACTTTTAAAGCTTACATAGTTAGAGAAAGAGTAATCATTAAAAGACAAATGTCTGCCTTTACTATTTATAATATAACTTATTTACAGATGACGGACTTATCAAAATTCCTAAGAACAAGGTCTACGAAATTATCTATGCAAACAATCTGTGATATTTCCACACATACTCTATAGTTAGAAAATAATTTTATGTTAACTATATAACCAACATTTCAAGTAGCAAATTGCCACCATTGTCTTATTTTCTGCCATATGAATACATATTAAAGTTATGCCTAGATTCTGGTCACTATTTTATTTAAAATAAAAATAAAACACTTGAAATCCATCTTCTTCCTTCATAAAGCAGTCTATTTAGGTTGCATCAATTAACATTACAAAAATTTCTAAATATGCTTGACTTGATAAAGTATTAATCTCTTCCCACAACTCTTAACATTTTATGTTAACAATGTGCTCAACTTGGTAAGTGCATTCATTTATCATTTCCCTAGTTCACATTGTAAAGGACACTTAGTAACAGCTAAATGATATGTCTCAGGTTTTAGAAATGTTAACTACCAAAAAAATGCCACTAGAGAGTAAACTCCCAACAGATGATAATAGATTATAAAACATAGGAAAACTTCCTTCACAAATATTAAAGTTCACCTCAAGTATAAACCAACCTCTAAACATGCCTAATTTGTTTTTAATGTTTTTATTAATGTAACAGACATTCAACAAAGGTCGACTGCTTCCTAAGCACTATATTGGTATCTCTACACAATCAAACAATAACACCAATATACAATGACACCTATACAATACAATAATACCAATGTACCGATGTAGTCTGAATTATGTACCATGAGGGTAGGAAGAGCTGTTTGACAGAAATATGATTTTGACTTGGAAGCCAGGAAAAGGGTCCCCCAAAGAAGTCACAGAACTGAGATCTGACTACAACAGGGCAGAACTACAAAAATGGCAAGGAAGGGGACAGAGAAGCCAGTTAACAGTGAACATAGGTCTAAATACAAGGTAAGGTAAAGTGGGCAAGACACATTCAAGAATACTTGTGTGGGCTGGGGATGTGGCTCAAGCAGTAGCGCGCTCGCCTGGCATGTGTGCGGCCCGGATTCGATCCTCAGCACCACATACAAACAAAGATGTTGTGTCTGCCAAGAACTAAAAATTAAATATTAAAAAACTCTCTCTCTCTCTAAAAAAAATAAATAAATAAAAAATACCTGTGTGGTAAAGGTGAAAAAAAAAAGAATGAGGACTGGAGAGAAGCAGGAGTCAAGACTGTGTCGGGTCCTATCAGCCAGGTTAAGAAGATGAACTTTATTTTGTTTAAAGAACAGAATGTCACTATAAAGCATTCAAGCTGGATGTAGCATATTTGTCTTTTAACTTCCTTGAAATTTTAAATTCCTAGGAAGATGCAAAACTAGTAGAGTTTTTCAGTATCCCAAAGCCAGTTTCTCTCAATAACAGCAAAACGTTACTAAATAACCACGTTACTTAAATACATTATCAAACCAGGAAATTGGCATTGGTACAGACTATTTACTAACCTACAGGCCTTATTTCAATTTCACCTGTTTTTATATTCACTTGCATAATGCCTCTGAGATTCATCCAAGTTGTTGTATGTAACATGAACTACTTTTCATTACTGAATAGTATTCTATTGCATATGTGTCATTGTGTATCCATTTACCTGATGAAGGACATTTACACTGATTCCGGTTACTAAAAATTCATTATTTGTGTACTGAAAAGTACGCAGACTAGGCCATCTCACAGACAAAGCAGAGACTACTCAGAGAGTAGTTCAAATAGGAGGTGCCAATAACTCAGAATACTGATTCTCATAACAAGGAGGGGGTGATTATGCACTACCCAGTAGGGTTGTGTTGGCAACATCTGCAGATATTTTTTGATTATCATCACCAGAGGGGTACTGCTGGTATCTAGTTTGTAAAGGCTACAGATACTGTGAAAAAACCCTCAATATACAACTCATCCATAAGAATTATCTGGTCCCAAATGTTAGTAGTGGCAGGTTGAGAAACTCTAGCCTAGACAAAGGGGATGATGATGGAGATAAATTAGATGGATTTAAGAAATGTATAGGTGGTAGGGCTAGGGTTGTGGCTCAGTGGTAGAGCGCTCGCCTAGCATACAAGAGGCACTGGGTTTGAACCTCAGCACCACATAAATGTAAAATAAAGATATTGTATCCACATAAAACTAAAAAATAAATATTAAAAAAAAGCAATGTATAGGTGATAAAACTCAGTGACTGGTGAGGTAGATGGGGAAGAGGCATGGTTTGCAAAATTGGATGAGGAACACTATAAGAAGTCAATGCTGATGTTGTCTTTGGAGGAAGAGGGTTGGGATCACAAGGTGTTTTGTCTTTGACATGCTAATAAGTTCAAACTCCTTGATACATCCACGCAGGGACATGGAGTTGGTCTGGAGTGCAGAGACCACACAAGTCTGGGTGTCACCAATGTACTGATCTAAAATCATGTTCTGAGATGAGATTATCTAGGAGACTGTGACTTTATATTTAATTTTATTTAGTTAGGTAGTAAATCAATATGCAGAAAATGAGATGGTCAGAAAAACAAGAATATAAGGAGACTGTGGTGTCCAAATGACAAAAGAGTGTTTCAAGGCACAATAACAGTATTAAATACTGCGCAGAAGCCAAAAAGAACACTATCTGAAAGGTTCATGATTTGCAAATTAGCCATGAACTTGATGAGAGCTGTTTTCAAAGAAAGAGTAGAGATAGAAACTAGTTTGAATTGGATTGAAGATTGGAGGGGTGGGGTGAGACAAATAACAAAACTTTAACTAAAAGTTTGGCTGTGGCAGGGCACAGGCATGTAATCCCAGTGGCTCAGGAGGCTGAGACAGGAGGATTGCATGTTCAAAGCCAGCCTAAACAACAAGCAACTCATCCGTGGCTCTAAAAAAAGTACAAAATAGGACTGGGGATGTGGTTCAATGGTTGAGTGCCCCTAAATTCAATCCTGGTAAAAAGTTTGGCTGTGAACAGAGAGGAAAGATCTATGGCACTAACATAAGACAGGGAGGTAAATTCTTTCATTCCATACCTATATCCAGAGGTAAGTAACCTGAGACAGAAATGCCCCTCCGGGGGTCTTATCACTTCCCATAATTCTTCATCATTTTTTTCATCAGTCATTCCTCTTCCTACAACATAAGTGAATTCTTACAATGAGTAGTGGAGGTTGTATTTTAACACAATGCTGATCCCAAACATTAGCAAATGCATTGGCAAAAGAACTTGTACAATGAACACAAAGTCATTGCATTAAAAAGCTTTACTAGTTGAGAAAAGGTTTAATGGGAATACTGGTGTAAATTTTTAATATCATAACTTCTACTAAAAAAAACTATCATGATAAAATAACATTGAGACATCAGTTGGTAAAGCTTTTAAGGGAAAAAAGTAATAGTATTAATATATAGAGATGCAAGACAATATAATGAGAATGGTTTCGACAACTGCATCCTCAGTCTCTTCCCAAATTCTGCTATTCTAATTTCCTTGGGCCTTGTTTGTTTTTTGTTTTTTAAAGTGGATAACTACCTGTAAGAAAATAAATGGAATAACAGAGCTTTGATGAACTTTAAAGTCTTAAAAAACATTATTACTTTTGAGGTACTGAGAGCCACATGATTGCCTCTACTACCAGTGAGCACTAGAGCACTGTGTTTTCTCCACATTCTAAACTCAGTTCCTAAAATTAACTCCCCTAAATGTTCACTGACTGAAATAATGTCTGCACAGGGCTGGAATGCCAAAATGTGTCACAATCGCAGAAATGTACATGTTGTCTCTCAAAACAACTACTTTTGACCAAAAAAGAACAACAACAACAAAAAAAAAAAAAACCCTCTCCTGGGCATATATTCTGCCAATCTAGGAAACTGGCTATTCTACAAATTTGACTGAAAAGGGTCCCAAAATCAAACAAAGGGAGAGTGCAAAAGCCCTCTGGAGCAGCGGTAGATACCTAGGAGAGAACATCGGGGGAAAATAAGCTTTCTCCCAATGCCAGTCCCGGTTGGTTAATGCTCAAACTCTCCAGGGCCACAGAGACCGAAATCCTATTGCACGAGACGGCGGCCATCCTCCAGGTTCTGCCACGTCCCCAGGCCGGGCAGGGCCGGGCTAAGGTCCGTAGGCGCCAGCCGCCGGTCTCTTCCTGTGGCCAGCGCGCTGGAAGGTGGTGTCAGCTGTCCAGAGGCTGCAACCTCGGCCCAGGACAGAAGCAATGTCCGAGAAGAGACCCCTCACCCCCACCCCCCCGAACCGCAAGCACCGTGCAATCCGCGGTGGGGACTCACCCCTTGTGATGCGTGCCCCTGCCGGCTACACACCGCAAGCTCCCACCGCGGCGCTGGGCCTGCGCTGCCGGGGGGCCTGGGAAACGACCCCCGCATCCCGCGGCGCCGGCGGCCCGCCCACCTCCCCGGGGCGCGACCCGAGTCCGGCTTTGGCGCCAGCATCCCACACCACCGTCCTCGTGCACGCGCGTAGCTGCAGGGGTGACACTCACCTGGGGTCCCGAGCGAGCGCGTGTGTGACAGGCGCAAAGTGGGGAATAGGGAGGTCACGGTGTAGAACTATGGCTGGAGAACACAAGGAAGATGCACTCCAAAGCTCACCTCTGCGCGTCCCCGCCTCCAAGATGGCCCCCGGCTGCGCGCGCCCCTGCGGCTGCCACGTCGTCGCGCGTCGCCCCGCCCCGCGCCTGGCGCCCCGCCCCGCGCTCCAGGCTGACTGGAGCCCCGGCTCTTCCTCTCCGTCCGAAGATCATCTGGACCGCTGAGTTTTGGCTGTTCCTGCCCACTGTAGGACGGTCCCCCATAAATTTCCCCTCCGCAGCCCCCACACTGCGAACAGCAGCCTTGCTATCATGGGTAGCTCGACCTGTGCCACAATCGCCCACAGAATGGAGATAAAGTCAGCCAGCGCCGTCAAGTCCAGTCCCCACCTTCAGGAAGGACCTTGCTCCAGATAGAGGGAACTTATCCGTAGCAGCGATGGGGAAAAGGGACTTGGGAATGGAGCAGGGGGAGGGGGAGAAGGGTGTCATTTACTGTACTGGTTTTTCCCCCAAGTACATATATTGCACTTTTTTTCCAGTTGAAAAACCGAAGACATTTTTTTTTTCCTTAGCTGCACAAGTTAGTTATTTTGATTATAAATTAACGGAAGTCTACATTAAATGCACATCTTATAAAATGATCACTTTGAGAATATATAAAAACTGCTGGAACAAACTTTGTTATTTCTGATACTCTTGTAGCTTCAACTAGACAATTCCCTTCCCAACCATAAATGCAAGACGTCAAGCCATTTAAAAAGACTCATAACTGTGCCAGCAGGTGGAAATTATGAACATCCCCCTCTTCAATTCAATTGCCTTTTTTATCCTAGTATAACACTCTCCCAGTGCCATTTCAATGCCTTTATGGTGGTTATTCAAGACAGTTTTCAAGTTTAGAAATATTTCCTGGGACTTCAGTTTCTCCCTTCCAGTGACATCTGTTAGTTGCCGAATTCCAAATTTAATTTTTTCGATTTCGTGATTGTGGCTACTTGCTCAAGATAGCACTTTTTTTTCTTGAATTGTATTGTAATCTTCAATTACTGTTTGCTCATACTACCAGAAGACAAAGATTATTGACTTTTTTTGTATGTTTGTCTGTTTGGTTGGTTTTGGTACCAAGGATTGAACCACTGAGCAATATCCCCAACAACATCATCATCATCATCATCATCATCATCATCATCATCATTATTTTACTTAGAGACAGGGTTTCATTGAGTTGCTTAGGGTCTCACTAAATTGATGAAGCTGGATTTGAACTCCTGACCCTCCTGCCTTAGCCTCCCCAGCCACTGGGATTACAGGCCTGCACCACCATGCCCAGCTTGACATTTTTATCCTTATATGCTGCACCTAAAGGAGTTCCTGAAACAGTTGTTCAATGATAAACTTTAAGTAAATCAATGAATGTAAGGAAATAAGAATTTGAAACCTGAAGTCGTGATTTGGGTCTGCGACTGCCCATAGGCCAATTGTATAGTTGTGAATACTCATACAGGTCATTTGGTCTCCTTATTTTCATCTGTAAAATGGGAGTAATATTATCTGCCATCACTAACTCAGGCGAGTAACAAAATCAAATAATTTAGTACTGGGGATTAAACCCAGGGATGCTTAAACCATTGAGCCACATCCCCAGGGCCTTTTTAGTCATTCATTTATTTATTTATTCAATTTTGAGACAGGATCTCACGAAATTGTAAGGCCTCACTAAGTTGCTGAGGCTGTCCTTGAACTTTCAATCCTTCTGCCTCACCCTCCCAAGTTTCGGTAATAATAAGCATGCACCACCACACCTAGCTGAAAGCACTGTTTAAACTACTTAGCATTCAACATGTGAAAAACTGTATCTTCTTATAGTCCTCAAATTTTCTTCAGGAATCAATTCTTAGATAGCTCCTGGACGTGACAGCCATAAATATTATAAAATACCCTACTGAAAACTAATACTGCTTAACAATGCTCTCACTCTATATCTGGCTTTGTAACTACAATGGGTTGGTCCCTTTGGTGGTGCCTCTTATCCTGTTCACTGAGAATGTGTGTAGGTGGCCTTCTAGATTACTTTCTAGAAAGTGCTGTTTGGAGTAATGCTGAAAGTAGATACCATCTCCATCCTCTTTGGCCCACACCCTTTATAACAAGGTACGTTGGTTCCTTCATTCCTTCAACAAATATTTATTAGTGGCTGCAATTGCTGAGCATTGGTACTGGAAACACTGCAATGAGCAAGATGAGCAAGTCTTGACACTTAGTTAGCTGTCCTAGTAAGAAAGAGAGACTATAAACAGGAACATAAACAAGAAAAGACAGTAGAATGTTGGCTATAGTAATTGGAGTAAGCCATTTAGGACAGGACAAACAGGCAAGACTTGTCTCAAGAAGAGAGTTTTGAGCAGGGACCTGCCATGAAATAGGCTGTGGTTATTTGGCAGAAGGGAGATCATGCAAATACTTGAGGTCGAGTGTGCTTGGCACTAGTGATAAACAGCAAGAAAGTGCAGGAAGTGGAGTGATAAGAGGACAGAGAGAGCACGGGTGAGATCATATCCAGTCTTCTAGACACAATAAAGCCATTTGGGTTAGATTCTGGAAGAAATGGGAAGTACATGGAGTGTTTTCAGACGAGAACAACAAGATTTGATTTCAGTTTTTAATCACATTCCAATTGCTGTGACTTGGGTTTTTCAGGGACTAAGGAAGGTCTCCAGTAACGAGACCATGGTGGCTTAGAGTAATTAATGGCGTAGAGGCAGTGTATGGTCCAGGCATATTTGAAGATTGAATTGCCATAATTTGTTGGTGGACTAGATGTGGATTTTATTGGTTTCCTTAGACCACCACAAAAAATTATTACAGCCAATCGGTTATAAGAATAGAAATATATTCTTCCCCAGTTCTGGAGGCCAGATGTCTAAAATCAGCAAGACCTCTCCAGAAGCTCTAGGGAAAAATACTTTTGTGTTTCTTCTAGATCCTGGTCACTCTCAATGTTTCTTAGCTGGTGCCAAAATAACTCCAGTCTCTGCCTCTGTGTTCACATGGCCTTCTCTCCATGCCCCTGTGTCTTGAGTCTCCCTCTGCCCTTCCCTTTCAGATATATCCATCATTGCACTTACGACCCAATCTAGATCCAGAATGATCTCATTTCAAGATAATTGAGAGTCTTACAAAGATTATTTCTAAATAAATTCATGTTCAGAAGTTCCAATTGAATATATCTTTTGGAGGTCACTATTCAGTCCACTAAATGGATAGAGACAGAAGTCAACTAAAGTTAAGATTATAAAATGGCCTTTGGAATGGTTAAACTTGAATTACATTTATAGTTATTCTATGTTTTACTTACCACTTTTCATTTGAATTTCAAAAGAACTTTGTGCAACTGAAAGATTCCTGAAGAAAATCTGAGAACTATAAGATACTGTTTTTCACATGTTGAATGCTAAGTAGTTTAAAAAGTGCTTTCAGCTGGGTGTCCAGTATTAGAAATATGGAAACTAAATCTCTGATAATTACATGCAGATGGAGTTGGAACCCAGAATTTATAGATGGTACTCCAACTGCTTTCCTGCTTTTCAAGTTGTAAGGTATGTTCTTAGATGTCAACCAATGAGGACAATTATAACTTAATGGAAGAACAAAGACTGCTCAGCATTTTAAGTGTTGCTAAAAACTCGCCAAGATTTTCTTTATAGGAATTCTAATACATACTAGAGATCATTTGTGACTTGTGATGAAACAACATGACAGTAGAATTTTGCCTTTCTTGCTCAAAAATATAGGCAAACAAAACTTTTTTTTTTTTCATTTGAATTAAGGGTTTTTTTCTAGGTCAATTCAGTTAATGTTTTATTCTTAAATATTCTTAAGGCAGTTCTTGATGTTTGTAATGCTCATATAAATATTCAAATATGTATTTCCAGGTGGGAAAAGGATGAGGCTGAGACTCAGCATCTGCTGCATAACCAGCAGTGTAGTCAGAACTGATTCTGGTTTAAGATGATGAGCCCTGCTGAGAGCACAGCCCTCAGTTTTGCAGCCCATAGAGCACTTCAGCAGGTGCTCTGGGGTACTGGCCCACACGTAGACATCAGGGGACTCCGATCATGCCATGCTAAGAGGATATGGCAAAGGTTGTCTCAAACATTGCATGGGATTCACTTGTACTAAAAAAGTTATCCATCATTAATCTGAAATTCAAATGTAAAAGGCAAGCAAGCCAGGACTTAAGAGTGTAAAAGGCAATAGAGTGTATATTGGGACATTAACTATGGTAACAAAAACCTAGATCAGAGTTCTCACTCTAGCACCAGCATAATCAACAACTAACTTTGAGAGTGTCGCTTTAACATATTCTATATTCCTTCACTATAAAGTGGGACAAATATTCCTATTAATACCTACTTCATAATTTCTTAATTGAAGATTAAATTACTTAATGTGTGTGAAATATTTAGAACAGTGGCCTAGCTCTCAGTGTTAGCTCTTATTCTTAGAGCTTATAATTGCTTAAATATTCATCTGACAATTACTTTTAAACCAACAAGACTTAATTAATTGAGCCTGAGGTATAATTTCCAAATTGTTTTCTTGTTTGTTTTCAACCAAAGAAAATTTAGTTATGTAAGAGGTGACTATACTTCTCAGTTTATCTAGGACACTTCCACTTGATAGTCATCCAAGAGTAATTATTAAAACTACCGATAACCTTTGCCAGAATTTTATTGAAATTTTTGCGTCTATATTCATTAGATATATTGGTCTGAAGTTTTCTTTCTTTGATGTGTCTTTGTCTGATTTTGGAGTCAGGGTAATATTGGCCTCACAGAATGTGTTTGGAAGTGTTCCCTCTTTTTCTATTTCATGAAATAGTTTGAGAAGTATTGATATTAATTGTTCTTTAAAGGTCTTGTAGAATTGAGTTGTGTATCCATCTGGTCCTAGGCTTTTCTTGGTTGGTAGGCTTCTATTGCCTTGCTTGAAATTGATCTGTTTAAATTGTTTATATCATCCTGATTTAGTTTGGGCATATCATATGCCTCTAGAAATTTGTCGATGTTTTTGATATTTTCTATTTTA